CCCCAAATGATTTTGAGTTTTGTTCCACATTGTTCTCCCTCTCTATCCAGGATCTCCTACATAGATCCCCTTCCAAGTGGATGACTGTGGTAGCCGGGCACCATCTAGTTCTTCAGGTCTCATAGTCGTATAGGCTGCAGATCGGATGGTGTACCAGTCGCTAGGGCTAATTGTTTCCATGAATTTTTGGTTTTCTTCATTATTCTTGGCTCTGGACAAGGAAAGACCCATTGTTGCATCTAGATGGCATCCTGCAAGCTTTTAAGATCCCAGCCACTACTTGCCATAGGAAGTGGAACAATGTTTTGTGTAGTATGTTATGCCAATCGAGCTTTATGTCCTTTGCAACTATGGTCCCGAGCCCACAGGTTCAACTACTCAGTCCCACTGGGTAGCTGGCTGTGACCAAGCAGTGACTACAACCTTGCTCCTTGTCAGCTCCACTATACACCTGAGAATTCAAATCATACACATAAAGTTATTGTCTGCCAACCCTATAAGTGTTCTTGGGTACACACCCCACTTCATAGACATACCTAATAGTTCAGCGTGTCCACCCATCTATCCACCCATATACCCGTGTTTGCCTTCACTGACCACGCCATACTATATGTGCAAGAGGGTTCATCTTTGTTGTCTGTACTTCCCACGTACCTCTCTATCTTTCTCTTCCAATCTTTAAATCTTCCAATCTCTAAATCTTTCCAAATCTTCTTAAGACTATTCATATTTCCCATCCATTTCCCAGACTAAGATAAGGAGTATAGTAGGGGTGTGAAGATTTCCTAAATACATTCCATGTAAGGTTCCGAAAATGCTCCATTGTTAGGGATTAGGAGATCAAATTAATGGATATTTATTTATATCTTGTCACTCAGAATCTCAAATTTTATTTGTATCCTTCTCAGACTCTTCCTTTTTTCATACTTTGTCTTGACATCACGACTATCTACCCAAATGACAAGTTTCAAAAATGTTTTGAAAGACAGGCATCACTAGGATAAGGACAAAGAATCTCAGGGTGATTATTTTTTATAATCATTTTGACGTTATCATATTTTCATGGAAAAATAATAAGAAATAATAACATAAGGAAACATTCTAAAACATGAACATTCTCTTTGCTTTATAATCACATCTTGAATTTTTGAGTACAGAGACCAGACAATACATGGTACACATACACACATACATATATACACATTTTTGAGTTTTAAATTCTCTTTTTGTTTCTGCTCAATATTTTAATGGCTACTTAGTCAAATCAGCCTCCCAAATGCCTCACGGCTAGTATATTCCCTGTTATCACTGGAAGTAAAGAAGAAAAAGATGATTATGGACAGCAGGACCGAAGGGTTTCCTTACTTGTAAGTGCTGTTAAACATATGTTCCTGGAGGCCAACGGACTCCTGTTTTATTACTCGGTATTTTTGCCATGAAAATAAAACTAGAGGCTCTTTTTGATTCTAAATCATTGGTTTTCCATCAGTGACTAAGACTACCACTACTTCAAATGAGGAATGATTTCTCTTACAATTATAAAATAAGAATTAGAGAGAAAGCTTAGCTTCCACAAGGTACACACTTAAATAAAAACTCACCTTAAGCAAGGCCCCACTTTCCTCTGAACCATCACAGCTCTGAGATTCTCTTTGCTTCCGTATTGCATCCGGTGTACTGTAGGAGCTAAGGCCAACACCTTCTCCACCTTCACAACCATTGTCAGATCCTCCACTGCTTCTGGAAGGACTGGGCTTATGCATCTTTAAGGAATAGTCACCAAAAAGTGTTCTTCTGCATGTTGGAGAGGATGCTACTTTTGAAGTACCTTGTAGCCTACTGAGGATAGGTGAAGTTGTCAAACTATCTGGTTTATCACGTGATCCAGCAAGGAACCAGTCAGCACAAGACAAAGCGGGACGTGGAGCAGATGCTAGCCGTTCATCTATGTGGGAATCTACTCCTGCTAGCTGGTGTAGAGTTGTTTTGACCTGATCCACGTATATATAGTCTGGTCCTGGATTCCCAATAGCTTTCGATGCGCAGCCCCCAGCTTCTAATATTACACATAACATATAATGTCTCTATAAAGAAAAATTATTAATATAGATTTATCTACCATGAAAACAGGAGCTCTGGTGGTATAGTGCCTAAGGCATCTGACTGCTAACCAGGTTTAAACCCACCAGTCATTCCTCAGAAGGAAGACTGGACAATGTACTTCCGTAGTGATACCGCCTTGGAAACCCAAGGAGGGGTCGCTATGAGTTGGATCCAACTCGATGGCAATGAGTTTGCTTTTTGGTACCATGAAAATATATAAAATATAGATGTATAAATTTATAATAATAAAGATGCATAGATATATGACATACTCATGTATCCTTTCCATGTCTCCTATTTCCCAAAACAAGCCAGCAAATTTAAAACCACTATAGAAATGGGAACAAAATATTTTAAGAACTTGCTAAATTATTTTCTGAATTTCATTGATTATTTCTCTATAAGTATTAAACCTACAGCCACTCCATGGAAGGGAGAGTAGGCAATCTACTTCCATAAAGATTTACTGCCTTGAAAACTCAGTGGGGGTCACTATAAGTCAGAATCGACTCGATGGAAGTGGGTTTGGTTTTTGGTAAATACTAAATGGATGCAAAGGAATAAGGGACATATTATATTTTCTTCAATACTAGTATTTGACATGCTCATAGTTTTAAATGATTATGTTTGCTTGTATATTTATTTGGACAGGCAATAAATGGCAAAAAAGAAATTCCAAGAACAAAATCAACATAAACTTACCAAACCGACAATTAGCAAAAAATATCTCCCTTCTGGTTCCTGAAAGACTTCAGTGTTTGAGTCTTCAGAAGGTTGAAGGTGATACTGAGGAAACACTTCTCTCCATATTACCAACTGACCAATTCTTTGTTTTGCTGCTAAAGGCAGTAGGCAATAATGGCGACAGTATACAGCAATATCAATAAGATCATCCTTAGGCAAATGACTGCATATCAAATAACCCTTGGATTAAACCACAAAAAGCAAAAGTCAACTAGTGACATAAAGCAATAATCCCATAATATATTTCTAAAAATTCTGTAGACACTTCTTCAGTCAGCTTTAAAAATTCCATTTCAAATGGAATAAATGAAGACATAGCAAAGATAAATGTTTTATCTGAGTTCAAACTAGAGATCAAATATTGATAAATTAAGGGACCCAATAAATAGACTTTACCACAAATCAAGACTGCTTCTGAACACTATTAGGTTGAGTGTTTGGCAAAATCAGAAGAACTGAAATCTGAGGAAGGGAAGTGGGGAACCATGGGTTGAGGTGGGAGAAACTTTTCCCTGCATGCCCAGCAAATCTCAATTTTATATGTGTTTAAATGTTTTTTTTTAAATGAAAAAGTACTTAAATAAGTTTGCTGCTTAATTTGCTTTACATGGAAGTCAACTATTTAATGTTAGAAGAGTTTCCTTAAAGATACAGGATTACTTCTGAAGATAAGATAAAAAGCACACTACTACTACTACTGACGGCAAATAACAACAACAACTACTACTACTACTACTAATGGACCACATGAACCATAGCCTCCATTAGCCTGAGACCAAAAGAACCAGATCGTGCACGCCTACCACTACTGACCATTCTGATCAGGATCACAAGAGAAAGTCCTAGACACAGTAGGAGAAAAATGTAGAACAAAATTCAAAATTATAAAAAAAGACTAGAATTACTGGTCTGATAGAGACTGGTGGCACCTCCTAAACTATAGCCCTTAGATATCCTTCAAAACTAGAACTGAACCCACCCCTGGAGATCACCTTTCAGCCAAACATAGACTAGCCTATAAAGTGAACAATAACACCCAGGAGGAAGGTACTCCTCAGAACAGTCAACCATATGAGACCAAAAGGGCAGCATTTGCCCAAAAACAAAGTCCAGAAGGCAAGAAGGGGCAGGAAAGAAGGATGAATGGAAACAGGAAACTTAGGAAGGAAGGGGAAGAATGCAGTTACATTGAAGGGATTACAACTATATCACAAAGCAAAGTGTGCATAAATTTTTGAATAGGAAACTAATGTACTCTGTAAACTTTCAGTCAAATCACAATAAAATGTTTCAAAAAAAAAAAGCATGCTACTGAAAAAGGAAATTAAAAAAAACCACACTGCTTTTTTCTTTCATATACTTGAGTCTTAGAGTTTTTCTTTTCTTTTATGCATTCACAAATATTTTGGAATGTAGTAACACCACAAACATTAATTACATTTATAAATACAGGAATGCTCACTAATGTCCACAATTTCTGACACAGGACGTTATGTGATTTGGACATCGTGCTTACACTATCAAAACCTTATGGGAGCCCGGTTCTGGTTGTCCTGGTTGCCACTGCTGCTGCTACTGCAGCAGCTGACAGCGGGCAGAGGAATGGGCCTGGTAGTAGTGGCCACTGAGAGGGCTGAGAGGGTCAGGGGAAGGAGCAGTGTAAGAGGATGCAAGAGGAACACACCCAACCCCACCCATCTGAGCAGCAGGAGTAGTCCAATTGCCCACAAAAAGCCTAAGAGCCCACATGCAGAGCCATATCCTCTGCCTCACCTGCCTGTATCTCATCCCTGGCTCACTGCTATAAAAGTCTGGATTTGGGGTCTTTAAAATCATTAAGGTGAAATAATAAACAAAAGGAGAGTTGCTTTCCCTTTTTAATAACAACAACAACAAAAAAACGCAACTTATGGGACACAGACATATACGTGGTTGGATGCTGCCCACATGGACAAATGGGCGTTAAATGATGCATACCTATATTTAGATATAAGTTTTATTTTATGATCTTACTCATATGATAATTACACTCAGTGGAAACGAGATAAACATATTTTTCATGTTTGTAAAAGTTTCCAAAAATTTACCTTAGGCCTATTCTTATAATGGAGCTCTGGTAGCGTAGTGCTTAAGTCACTTGACTGCTAACCAGAAGACTGGCGGTTCAAACCCACAAGCCACTCCTCGGAAGGAAGGTTGGGCAATCTATTTCTGTAGTGATACTGCCTTGGAAACTCAAGAAGGGGTTGCTATGAGTCGAGTCTGACTCGACAGCACATAACAACAATAACATTCTTATAATAATTGGGCATTTATAAAAATTTCAAGTTTCAACTTACCTTGTAAAACAGAGAAGACCCCAAAATTGTATATAGCCGCCTCATGTCATAGTAATCCTCAGACTGAGGGAGAAAAAAAAAAAGCTCACAATGGATTTAAATTTTTTGCTTTTCTATGATTAAAAAGAAAAAAACTAATTAAGTTATAACACTTATAATGGAAACTATATTCTTTAGTAACGGAACTTTTCATAGTGCCTTCTTTAGAAATTAATATACTAGGGTATTATAGTAAAATATACATGTACCCAAATATTTATTTTTGACTTAGAACTACCTTATTTTTCATTTTTATAAAATCAAGACATCTAACAATAGAACATAAGATTGGTTACCACAAGAGGAATTTTTAAGGACAAATATGTTAAAGCAAAAACCTTCAACAGTATGTAATCTAAAATATCCAATATAAGCATATTCTATTTTTGGGATTACAAATTGGTACACCCTATTTGGGAACAACCAATATTTGTGTTTAAAAAAATTGAATACCCATATACCTTGCCTAAATGTCTTAGTCATCTAGTGCTGCTATAATAGAAATACCATAAAAGGGTGACTTTAACAAATAGAAATTTATTTTCTCACATTTAGGAGGCTTGAAGTCTGAATTCAGGGCACTGTTTCCGGAGGAAAGTACTTGTCTCTTCAGCTTGTCTTGTTTCCCTGTGGATTTTCATGTGGCTAGGCACCTGTCTTCCCCTATTTCTGCATACTGGCTCACTTGTTTCATCTCTTTAATATCTCAAAAGAGACTAACTCAGGACACACCCTACACTAATCCTGTCTGATTAACATAACAAACACAACCCATTCCCAAATCAAGTTATTGTTGTTAGATGCTGCAGAGTTAGTTCCAACTCATAGCAACCCTATGTACAACACAATGAAACACAGCCCAGTCCTCTAATATCCTAATAATAATTGCTATGTCTGAGCCCATTCTTGCAGCCACTGGGTCAACCTATCTCACTGAGGATCTTCCTCTTTTTTGCTGACCCCGTACCAAGCATGTAGTCCTTCACCAGGGGTTGGTCACTCCTGATAACATGTCCAAAGTATGGGAGATGACATCTTGCCATCCTCTCTTCTAAGGAGCTTTCTGGCTGTACTTCTTCCAAGACAGATTTGTTCATTCTTTGGGCAGTCCATGGTATATTCAATATTCTTCTGCAACACTGTAATTCAAAGACATCAATTCTTCTTCGGTCTTCCTTATTCATTGTCCAGCTTTTGCATGCATATGAGGCAACTGTAAACACCATATTTTGCGCCAAGTTCATCTTCGTCCTCAAAGTGACATCTCTGCTTTCTAATACGCTGAAGAGGTCTTTTGCAGTAAATTTGCCCAATGCAACACGTCATTCAGTTTCTTGACTGCTGCTTCCATAAGCGTTGATTATGTTTCCAAGTAAAATGAAAAATCCTTGACAACTTTAATCTTTTCTCCATTTATCGTGATGTTGCCTTTTGGTCCAGTTGTGAGGATTTTTGTTTTGTTTTATGTTGAGATGAAATCCACCCTGAAGTCTTCGATTTTCATCAGTAAGTGCTCCAATTACATAAGAACTGGACTATATGAAGAAAAACGTGGTATCAGGATTGGAGGAAGAATCATTAACAACCTGAGATATGCAGACGAT